AGCCCAGGGGTTTTGTACCTTTGGGGGTTCATTACTATTTCGAGACCCCCGTTTGACTGAACTTTTTTTTTTCAGAGGAGTTTCTCCAGCAAGCGAATGCCGCAATAAGCATTGTACGGGTTTTTCTGGTCTGCATTGACCACATACGGCGATGGCGTTCTTGGACCGGACTGTCTTGGACTGGACTGGAGCTGTCGAGGATCGAGTTTCGTTCGATCCCAAGCTTGACTCTGCGTCATGGATATAGGTACCGAGTATACACTTGATACAGAAAAAGGGGAAACATGACCGAGGATTTTAAACACAAGACCATCTATTCGAACAAAGTGCTCGAGACGCGGAATCAACACAAGGAACAAGCACGCCGTACATATGACATGGGCCCGAGGGAGCGAAGTATAAGGAACGGGGAACTGGGATCAAGAATTAACAGTCTTACCAGGCTTTCTCTCTTCCTCTCTTTCTTTCCTTCCTCGCTATATACCTTCGGAGCCTTCCCCTTTGCTTTGCGTTTCCTTTCCTTAGAGTTCTCTTGTCTGGGATTTAAGGGGCCGGTGAATGAATTGTTTTGATTTTCTATCTTTGCCTTCGCATGCTCGTTCGCGCCACCGCGCACTGCGCGCTGCGCACTCAATGCCCCTCCCTCCCAGTAGGTAGGGAGGGGAGTCCTTTCGCACATACATGGGTATCTTTTTGGATTTCATTATCATTATCTCCTTTCTTTTCTCCGTCGTCCTCTCCCCCTCTCATACACACATACAAACATTCATGATTCCAGGGATGGGGGCGGTTCATTCCCCCTTCCGCCGCTTTTACCACCATTCGCCATTCCGTTTTGGGTGCCCATGATGATGAGATCTGCCTGGTTGATTTCCTTCCAGCAGGCAATTTTGATCTTTTCAATCTCAGGTCAGTCGGGGCTTGCGTTCCATATGTGTGTGGTCAAACCTCATATACCGAACGCATCAAATGCAGTCAGTGTATGGCTCGCTTCCCGCCTCGATCCATCCCGTGTAGATATCCCCCAACTCCATGCCGATAACGCGAGAAAAAACCCAGGATCTTGGACCAAGACCACAGCAAATCAAACCAAATCCCAGGCTGCGACGCCAGTAAATCCCATCCCAACTCGTCCCTTCCCCTCACGAAACTCCACGACGCTAAGACCTCTAGCATCCTGCCTATTCCCGAAAGTCGTCACCGCGAACAGCGTGATGGTCTGCCCCGGTGTCCCCAGCTGGCGAGCTGGGATGTCCACCACCCACATGTCACCACCCTGACCCATGGCTCCAGGATAGTATTCCATGGGGACAAGCTCTTTATCTCGACCATCAACTCCATTGACCGAGACAACGAATACAGGGGGTGGTCCTTTACGCGTATGTCTGTCCAGCGTCCAGTGTGCACATCTGAGACCGAATTGGAATCGAACACTATCGGGCTGTCGAACGTTGATTTTCCTTGCTCGCGGGTACACCGTCTTTTCGCCGATAGAATAATCTTCCTTTGCGTTCGTGAAAATCGTGGGTCCTTCAACCATGTCAGGCCAGCACGCAGGGTCAACCACGATATATTCCTCCCAGCTCAAGCGCCGCCCTCCAGGGAGGAAGAACAGGTCTCCATTGCCTGGAAAATGCTTGACTGCGAATTCTTCGTTCGACATGGTGAAGAAGTCCGGGTTAAATTTAGCTATGTAAGGGCGACCTGCGCCTTGAACATAACCTGCTCCCCAGCATGTGTCGATGAGTTTCCACTCTTCGTTGTCGATCTTGACAGCGTTCCATGCGTGACCTGCATTATATGGCGGAAGGGGAGCTCCTGGCGGGATGGGATTGAATCCATAGCCTTTGCCGTGGCCCGAGATGACCACAGATTCTAGGCCAGCGTAGGTAGCTAGGTTCGTGAAAAGGGCAGCATAGCCTTCACAAACCGCCAGTCCACTTTGCAAGGTTGACTGTGGGGTGGAGCCTCTTACGTTGTTATTGAAGAAGCTCACAACGTCGTAGGCAATATTGTGGTGTAGCCAAGTGAAGATGGCTCGTGCTTTGTCCGTAGGTGACGGAAATGGAGAAGTCAGTTGATGAGCCAACGTCTGTAACGAGATCACTTGAGTTCTGGGGAAAAGAGTGGCTTGGTGATCAGGACCAGAGAAGTCCCGGCAAACTAGACAGACACTGGCCCCAGCTGATAGACCACCGTTTACCGAAGTTGTGCATGTAGAAAATTTGGGCTTAGTCGCCTGGATGGCTGAAAGATCTGGTCGAGAGGACTTAGGAACTGGCGGCGGAGCTGACTGAGTATCTCTCAAATGGCCAGTCATATCTTCTCCCAACGGAAAAGGTACATTTTCTCTCAGCGGCAATGGTATTGCATGTTCTCGTAAGGGCTGTGATACAGGTTCCCTCAGCGGCAGTTGGACTGACTCCATGACTGCTACAGGTTCCTGGTGATATGATTGTTCTTTGGGAGTATGGTAGAAGAATGCAGCTTTCTTCGCTTTTTCTATTGACTCGACCGAGGGCACAGGGGGCATCTTCCTTAGCGGAGTCTCTCCGGCATGCTCGCGGTGTTCAGCCTCGTGTTTGCGCGAAGGCAGTCTTGGGGGAAGGGACGGTCGCGGAGGCGGAGTAGGTCTAGCTTCTACAGCGGTAGCTGGCGTGATGACTGTCGTGCCCGAGAGAGCTCGATTGACATATTTGGGGCGATCCTCCGAATGTTTTCTGGTGGCAACATGTGGGTTACCATTCCGAGGTGGAAGGGCAGGCAACTCGCACTCGCCCCATGCAGGGGCTTTGATTCGGCTGCCCGAGTCACTAGACTTGGTGCGAGCGGTTGTGGTTGTGGCCTTTGAGGAGGACGTATTGGACGTGTCATTTGTACCACTGGAGTTGGTCGACGCTACCGAGCCCCTCCTCTGTTCTTCAAGCGGGGGATTTCGACTGGGCAGCGGCGGAGGCTGTTTTCTCGCCGGAGGCTCAGGTGGAGGAGCAGGTAGATTACCTGGTTTTGAGTTGGTGATTGACCCATTGACCTGTTCTGACGGGTTGTTGATGGTGTGTTGCTTGACTATCAGGGGACGCCTGGAAGGCACAGGAGGAGGAGGGTGAGACGAGGGTCGGGGCGGTTCTCCAGGAATTCGACCAATATGGGCAGCATTCAATGCCGCGATGCGCTGTTGAAGCGTCAGAGTGACAAAAGAAGGGTCCTCACTCATGGCTGCCACTGAGAAAGTTGTAGCCTAGAGTGGAGGGTAGGGAGGACAAGAGAATGGTGGTCGTCATCCCAGGAATGTCATGACTTAAAGCGAGCGGAGAGTCGAGGCACAAAACGAGGGTAAAAGTGAGAGCGACATGCGACACGAAGCACAAAGCACGAAGCACGCGGCGTTGCGCAGGATGGCGGTTGGGCGGTTGGCCCTGCGCAGCCTCCAGGAAAAGGGGCTGAGATGGCACGTGAAAAGTGCACGTGAGCATTCACGAGGGCCAAGGGGAACTGTGTCCTACTTTGTATACTTACAACTTTCTCGGCTGCTGATCATGAGTCTGAGTGCCTAGGTATCTGTTATGAGCCAAAATCTATCATCGGCTTGATAGGGGCTCAAAGTTGTGACCAAGGCCTGCTCTGGCAACTTTCAGCCTTGTCCTAGAGGGAGTTTCAGCCTCGTCCGGAAACTGGAAACATGTGATGGAAACGTTGGGCTTCAGCGTCAGCTCTGACACGAATAAAGATCTTGCACAATCCAAGCAGGCTTGTCACTTGCCTCAGAAGCGAGACTCATGCTCAAGCTCCTGTTGTGGCGAGTTGAGACCCGGAGTGTGCCAACACGATATCCCTCAGCCTTACGTTACAGGTGGGTCAAGGTCGAAACAAGCCATGTATGGAGGAGCCAGACTTCTAATATTGTCATGTTAAAAGCATTCTGCTACTGAAAAGAGGGCAGTCATGAATTTGCGGCCCTCCAATTATCGGTGACGGAGATGATGTCTTTGGCAACCGCCTAGACCGAAGCCTTCCGGGGCCGGCATGTGCCTGAACTTTGTTCCGAAAACACTTATCGATCCTACCTAGGGAGTAGACCACGGCGTACAGAGTACTTTCGTCACGGTGTGAGATGCCGCTGCTCTCGGGCATCCAGACACCCAACACCGTCCGGAAGCATGCTGCTCAACAGGTAGCATTGTTTATCGCAGATCTTTCGTTCTTGTACCACATTCAACTGGCCTACAGCATTGTGACGACGGCGAACAGCTCAATGGAAAGACTTTTCTGCTCATCCGCGAAGCAAGAGCAAGCATTCGATCGAGATTCAATTCTCAGGAGGGGAAACCACATTCAATGCGGACTGATTGGCGGGCCAAGCGTACAAGTCGGACCTCGTGTGACCTCTCGTGTTCGTATCCTTGAAGGTTGTTCAGCTCCGTATGGAGCCCAAGACATATGTCCAGGCACCCTAAAACAAATAGAGTGCTCCAGCGTCAGCCTCTGCTGCCGGTTGCGAGCACTCCTTCGAACAAATAGGATATCAACCAGGCAGAGAAAGCTAGGTGAGGACATGCGGCCGCATCCGAGCGAGGAAAAGCGTCCAATGTTTCTGGGAAGAAGCATGACCTGGATTCCTTTCAAGTCTTACAAGACAAGGCTAGTTACATCTCGTTTCCCCAGAGCTCTAAATGCTTGAGCTGAACCAACACTCCCTTCCGTCTTCCCCCCACAAACATTCGTATTCTCTGCCCAGCCTTTCGGGTAACTTGACTTCCACGGCCAATGCGCAGCTGTAGTTCTGGCACGAGCCCCGATGCCATGGAAACAACAAGACGAGGGTATGAAAATGGAAGTTTTTCAGCTCCAGTTACTACAGCGATCCAAGGTCTTTTATGTCTGGTTTGCTACTTATTGAGGTCCTTCTACTTCTCTGGCACAGCTTCTAGGACTTCTTACAGTACCTGTATCTTCCAAGTACTAGTGCAGAAATTCCCTTATCCGCCTCCAGGAAGCCAAACATGAAGACCTTCCTCTTTTTGCTTTGTCTTGCGAGCAGAGTGCTCTCGTGGGGCGAACTAGGTCACCGCACAGTCGGATATCTTGCTCAGATGTACTTCTCTTCCGAGGCTGAAAGTCTGTTCGACGAGCTCGTGCGCCCAACCGAGTCATTTGACATTTCCGACGGTGCAGTTTGGGCCGATGATCGGAAGGTGCAAGGCAGAATGGCTTGGTCAAAGGCGTGGCATTTCATCGATGCAAAGGACAATCCACCAAGGAAGTGCAAGGTGAATTTCAATGCCGACTGCGATCCCGACAAGAAATGTATTATCGCGGCCATCGCGAACTTGGTGAGCTCTTCTAAATGAGATTCTCTACATAAGAACGTTAACCGACATGGCTCTCCTGGCCGGCAGACCACACAAGTCAATAACCCGGGTTTGAAACGAGATGACCAGAGTGATGCTCTAAAGTTCCTTCTCCACTTCCTCGGGGACGTCAGCCAGCCTTTACACACAGAGCAGAAATGCCGCGGAGGCACGAAGCTGATGGTGCAATGGGGTAAACCAGGTTCCAGGGAAGAGAACCTTCACGAGATCTGGGACAAGTTCATCATCCAGAAGCTCCGAGAATATAAGCAGCCACGGGAGAGTGACCCAGACAATGTTTACGACAAACAAATCTCGGTCAAGTGGGCGGCGGACCTAAAGGAAAAACTCGATGATGGCAGCATAGATGTATCCAGGGAATGCACGGACATACACGAGGCACAGAAGTGTGCACTGGAGTGGGCGTCCCAGGCTAATGCGTTCATCTGCACATACGTGCTCAAGGACGTTGGCGTCAATCTCGGACCTGATCCTTGTGAGCAATGCTGTCTGTGGGACTGGCAAGGGCCGGCCGACCTTTCCAAGGAGTACTACGAGGGCGCGGTCCCCATCGTCGAGGAACAAGTTGCTAAAGCCGGGTGGAGGCTCGGGCAGTGGATCAATGCTTTGGCGGAGCAGCGAGTCAACATGAAGAGAGTTGGAGTAGTGTTCAGCGATGACGTGTTACAAGTGCAGCCCAAGCTGGAAATGTAGTCTTGAAGAGAGATTCTGGCTACGTTTGCAAACTGCCCTTGCCACAGAGTGGTCTTGGATTCAGATGGCTTGCTGCTCCTGGACAAATCGTCGTTTTCAAGGTGCTGTGTGAGACAAGTCGTTTTCTGAAGTCTCAAAGAGGTCTCAGTGTAATGCAGACGATTGAGTCTACCCGACTAGGAAAAAATGAGTCTCAATAATCCCTGCGCCGGTGATATAGCCCTTGTCAAGGCCTTGTATAGCTTCGGTAACTTTTTCGTGTGTAATGGTGACAAGGCTGATGGCCCCTATTTGACGGCTGTTAGCCTGCTGTACAAATACAGTACATAACCCCAAAAAGGAGCCTAGGTGGGGTCAACCCTGTCAGACGGCCCTCCGTTATGGCTTCTCCCCTGTTCTCCCCACGTCTTTCCTGATTCTCCGCAGAGTCCTTTTTGTCAGACGAGTTTTTATAGTCCCGTACTTATGCCCCACGCTCCACATCTGGAATGTTCGCTTCCAGTTCAATCTGCCGAAGACATGGTGGAGTAAAGCGATCTCAGGAAACCAAAGTACTCGGTACATTAAATCGTCTATTTCCCCATGACCAAGCGTTGTCTCAATTCACTCATTGCCTAAGATCCAACACATCGCTTTGCCGGGCTCCAAAATGGCCTTCCAACGGATCTGCCTCATCGGCGCCTCTGGTAACCTGGGCAGCCTGATCCTCAAACACCTTCTGGCTTCCCCGCAAAATTTCAAGGTCACGGTTTTGTCACGCAATTCTTCCACCGCAAAATTCCCAGACACAGTCGCCGTCACCAGCGTCGCCGACGACTACCCCGCCTCCGAGCTCAGGAATGCGTTCAAAGACATGGATGTGGTCATCTGCGCTATCTCCATGATGGGAATGCACGAACAGTACAAGTTCATCGACGCCTGCCTCGCCGCGAAAGTGAAGCGCTATTTCCCCACAGAATTCGGCCTCGACGATTTACCGGACTGGCTACTGCAGCTGCGGGAAATGTTCAAGATCAAGCACGACGTGCGCGACTACTTGATCTCCAAGCAAGACACGGGTCTCGAATGGACGAGCATCTGCTGCAATGCCTTCTTCGAGATGGGCGTCGCTTCGGGATTTTTCCAGCTGGACTGGAAAAACAAGAAGGCCGTCCTGATAGACGGCGGGGAGGCAAAGTTCGTGGCGACAACGTTGGATACCGTTGCGTTGGCCGTCGTGAGGGCGATCGAGAAGCCCGAAGCGTCGAAGAACCGGATCTTGCTGGTCCAGGATTTCAGGACGAGCCAAAAAGAGATTCTGAACGCTGTACAGCAGAAAGTCCCTGGATGGCAAGTGGAGAACGTCGAATATGGGTCCTGGCTGGAGAAAGGCAAGGAGCAGGTCAAGAGCGGCGATAACAGCGCGCTGCCAAAGTTGACCTTTGGCACGTTCGCGCAGGGAAATCAGTACGAAGGGAGGCCGGAGTTTGGGAACGAACTGTTAGAACTTCCGACAAAATCTTTCTCCGAGGCAATGGGGATCTTTTGGAAGGAATACGAGAGTCGCTAGGAAGTGCAGAAAGTGTTGACGGTACGTGATCCGGGCCAGCCTAGGAGCTACCTGGTAGTCGAACTCGACAACAAAACCGCGGAATTGGGAACTCCGGGTCAGCATGACCTTTTGAAAGAAACCAGATTTTCTGTCTCAAGGGTCGATATCTCGAGCCTGTCACATATCGGCGCACATAGATTCGATACGCAGTCAATCGAGTGGAAGAAATAGGCCACAGCCGCACATCGGCCTGTTGCTCACCCAAATCTTCCCACACCGGTAGCAGAACTCGGCAGAGCAGACGCACGTCATATGGTTGCAGCCTTCTCGCCTTTCCACGAGATGTCCACAGGCAGGACAGAATTTCCATTTCTCTTTGGCGATGAGCGCCTTCAGCTTCTTGTCGCGCTTGCAGAGCCCACCGTGTTCTTTCGCCCTGCAGCCCATACACATCCTTCTCTTACAAAGAGGGCACTTGGCGTAGTCTTCCTGGACGAAAAATCCCGGAATGTAGGCGAGGCAGTCCTCCCATGGACAATACGTGGGGTTTGGCGTGTGAAGTTCTTGCCGCCACTGAACGAAAACGTCAAGGAAGTCTGCGTCCATGCCTCCATGCTCGCGAATCACCTTGAGCGGCACGCTCTGGCCACAGCACTTCAGCTCGTTTCTAGTCCTGAACATATTCCGTAGGCCTTCTATCAAACTCGCCGTTAGCCGAAAGGAGTAGTGGCCTCTGAGGCAAGAGGGTCAAAACTTGCCGTGAAGGCATTCCAGACAGAATGAATGGCGACATTTCAAGTCTACCACGTCGACTCTGAAGAACGGTTCCATGCAGACCGCACAGCCGACTATATCGAACGGTGAATGCTCAGCGGCACTTTCTTGGTTTCCTGGATCGATCTGTTTTGCGCTGGCTCGAATGGCCAAGTCTCTCAGAATGGTGCTTCTCCGTGCGCTTTTGAGCTGGGAGGCCTCATCTGCATCTTCGGGTTGACGGTTATGCGCTTGCAAAGCTTTATGCACGACCTTGAATTCCTCGATGGCGTCATACAGACAGACATTTTCCGGGTGATGGACAGCCCGGACGCAGGCTCCCAAGTAGACGATATTCTGCCGGACTTCTTGCTTCGTGCTCTCCACGAGGTTGTCGACTCCCAGGACATGCGGAGGCGAGCGAGGATAGTCGCCGAGGACACGAAGCAGGAAGGAATAGCTAAATGCGGGAAGTCTGATGGAAACTGTGGTGTGGTGGGCGTCGGAAAAGGTCGCAACTATGAGGCCTTCACCGTAGATGGCGTTGAGGGCATAAATCTCTTCAGCCAAGACAGCGTTGTGGACCAACATGATCAATTACATCTTGAATTGGACCTGGGATGGCTTCGAAGGCGAGTTGGTCAGGCACCAGCGGAGGCAGAACGAGACAGGCACGGGCAGGTGATATAAAAACGCCGCTCCCTTATATTTCATTCTATACATACTCCGCAAGGATTTCCATCAGTGAGTCAGCACGGTCTCTTGTCGCCAGCTCCTGCTCCTAGTCATTGAACAAAGTGCCTGGGGCCAAATGCAAGGTTCGAGGTCTATGAGTCATTCATCAGGCCACAGAGTGTACAGTGATCCAGACGGTTTGCTACCTATGTAATAGCTGCAATGCCACGCTTTACCAACGCAGCGAATGCCCGGAGGTTGCCCATCACCAGGCAGCTTTCCTGTTTCTCTCGATCTATCATTCATATGAAGACGTGTACAAGGGGTCAGCCCCTTGTTGTCGCCTTACTTTGACCTGCTAACACATCGAGTCTGTAGTTAGCACAAATATTCCGCTTTCCCAATTCTTTGTTCGTCGAATTTCCGTTCCATATTTATTTGTCCTCGATATTGGGGACTATACGAGGCACAAAGATAGGTTGGCTAATGCCTGACGAAAGTGGTAGGTCAATCCCAAATAGGTGCCAAAGTGGGCCATTGTAAGGTGATTGGCTTGCCGGACAAGGCTGAGGCCATATATTCACGCAAGGTCCAAAGAACAACGAAAGACCTCCCTTATTAGATTGAAGTGGGCCTTCTGTGGATTTCTTATGTTAGCAGAAGTGGCTCCTTGTCCGTCAATCGTGCTCTTACGTAGCTGTATCTTTGACAGTGGCCAGTTTGTCGTCACTATCGTCCCTTCCCTCGTCTAACTAACGACAGGAAGATTTTCGACATCTCTTGCAAGGAACAGATCACATCTACTTCATCTCGAATGCCTCCTGAGTCACCTCGCGCTCCTCAAATTTGTCCTTTTCTATGGCTTCAAGATCACCCCGGAGTCTCGCTTGTAGCACATGCTTGTACTCCTTCTTCGCGAAGAGCACGTCGATCTCCTCCAAGCTGAGGCCCTTTGTCTCCTTGACACAGAAATAGACAAAAGGTACGGCCAAGACGTTGAAGACGCAGAACAGGAGATAGAATTTCCATCCAGAGGCTTGGATTCCCATCGGCCCAAACTTGACCACGATAAATGTGATGATCCATTGTGTGAAGACACCCATGGAAGTGCCAATGTGGCGACTGTGGATGGAATGGTTAGCTTGATGATAATCACGTAAGAATGGTCCTGTTCCCGGGATTTGGTACTCACACATGGAGAGGTGCAATTTCTGGAACATACTAGGATATGACAAGTCAACCCTTCTCTACTCAGTAGTCCGGGGGAAAACACTTACGATCCATGGAGCATCGCACCATGAAGCCCCAAATGCAAATTCAAACAAGAAGATGCTGACCACAGCAAGCTTGTTGGAAGAGTCATTGTTTACGGCGAGTCCGATCGTGAACAGGATCATAAACAGAGAGCAGAAAATAGCACCCCATAACATGACTGGTCGTCGGCCGAATTTCTCAGTTGTATACACAGTCGAGAATGTGCCCCCCATGAAGAGCAAAGTAACGCCACCGCTGGTGATGGCAGCCTGGTTTTGAGACATCCCTAGCGAATGAATGAAGAGATAGGTCGCGTAATACGAGACGATATTGTTGCTTTGCAAGAATCCCAAGTCAGCGATAGTTCTTGATGATGCCAGTGGGGAACAGGTCGAAATCTCTCCCAATGACCTTGAACTTGAGAGGTTTGAAGGCGACGCAACAAAAGGTCTCCACTCACCCATCCATTTGTTGGAAGAACTTTTAGACGTCAGTTACGGTCATTTCTATCTCGGTGACGGTTGTGAGCCCACTCACCTGAACAAGGACACCAAGCCACAGCCGCCAGGTCGTGTTGACCGGAGAATTGTCGTAGAACAGGTTCTTGAAATTGAAGTTGTACTCTTTCTCTGCTTCCAGGGCCGCAAATACGTCGGAGCGCTGTTTATTTACCACCTCACTGTCAACTGGAACAGAGTAGATTCGAGCCATGATATGATCGGCGTCGGCGATCTGGCCATTTGCGTAGAGGTAGCGAGGCGACTCAGGGAGGAAGAAGATCATAGCAAAGGTTAACAAAATGAAGACGACTTGGAAAGCTATCGGTAAGCGCCAAACTGCCTCTGTACCGGGATAATTGCGAATCATGCCGTAGTCGAACCAGTAGGCGATGGTGAGACCTAAGATGACTATTGAGAGTTGGGTCGCAATCAATGCGCCGCGAGACTTTGCTTTGGCTGTCTCGGCAACCCACACGGGCACCATCACCGTGATAATGCCCATCCCGAGGCCAGCAATGACACGTCCCGAAATGAGATACGACGTCCCGTGGGCTCCAGCTTGCAGTCCGGCACCAAGACAAATGAGGACTCCCCCAATGACAATAAACAGGCGGCGACCGAGCATCTGCCCAACGAAACCACAGATAATACATCCGGTCAGGCAACCGATATCGTAAATCGCCACGATTGTGCCCTGCAAATCTGCAGCGTTGGGATTGATGTGGTTTGCGGACAGGAAGGTTGGAAGGGAGATGAGACCTCCAAGGACGCCTTGATCATATCCTAGGATCACGCTGTTAGCAGCCAAGGCCGTGGCAGACTGTCGAGACTGAAGATACCGAAGAGGGTGAAGGCCCATGCTGAACACAGGGTAATAGCTGCCTGGAGCCAAAATCCCTTGAGAGATTGAGCGTAACCTCTATTGAACGCCGACATGTTGATAGGAATCGACAGTAATGATCACGCAGATCTGGGGGAACATGAGTCCTGGAAGATCATACAAGGAGACAATGGGTATTCGCCGGATATATGCAAATTGCTGATCTGATCTGCTTCGGGATTCATCTTCCTATGGGGACTGCTGCGTGGGATAGCTTGCATATCCTACCCACTTTGGAAGATATCACGATGGAGAGTTCTCCTCGCACCGTCCGGTCATAGGCTCCGGTAAGTCAAAACATGAGTATAGCCTAGTATACCACCGAGGCTGATCAGGATGGTTTCCGTCTTTGTGCGGGGATTTGTGGAGTGCCTGATACCGTCTTGTGTACCTAGTAACTCCATACTGAATGTTGTGGAGGGTGGAGTTGCTCGTCCTAGGACAACGCACAAGGTCCTATGACACACATGGGTCCCGTTTACTCGGGCTCCTGACTCGATATTTTGGTTGTCATATGCTAGTAGTAGAGGGACGGTAAAATTGGGGGCAGACTCAGGGATCTGCGACTTGCCGGGGATGAAGCGGCATTGATCAGTGCTCTTGTTGTGATAGGCGTAGATTTCCCTGCCTTTCAACATCATTTTTGATAACTGCATCTCGTTCCTTCGCCTCTGTGTTGTTGCCAAATTGATGTATGGCGGCACATAGTTCATAATGTTGACTTCCAAGGTAGGAAGAGAGTTGGAAGAAAGTTGAAAGAAAGTTGATGGGACAAGGCGTGAGAAGTTAGAGTTAACCTTTCATCCAACGGAGTGCCGCAATGCTTCGTATTAAATTCTAATCCGCCGTATTGGTTAAGATTATAGAAGAGGCTTAGCCCAGCTCTACCAAGCTACAGTATGCCAACAGGAAAAGGTTGCAGTGAATGAAGGATGCAATTAGATTGTTCAGCCAAACACTTGCTGCCTTTTAGCGGATGTCATGAAAGCCGCCATCATTGACCACTAGCGACCCGTTCATGTAGCTGCTCTCGTCACTCAATAAGAAGCTCACGACATTTGCCTGTTCCTCAGCGAAAGCCATCCTTCGCAAGGCAATGGCTTTGCTGACTGGAGACTCTTGGTTTTCCTTTGACCCAATTGTCCCTTCGGCGCCCATCGAGTGCTCGATCATTTTGGTCATAGTCCACCCCGGACATAGAGCATTGACACGGATCCCGTCCGGCCCATAGAATTTGGCTCCGTTTTTTGTCACTCCGACTGCTGCATACTTTGAGGGAGTATAAGCTGCGAGACCGGCAGCTTGGAGTCCTGAGATGGAGACAACGTTTGCAATGGCACCACGTTGTCCTGGGATTTTGTGTGGGCATGGTGGTTCGAACGAGATCGGACGAGGAGCCTGAGTCCTCATTTGCAGCGCCTGGTATTTCTGGCACAGCCAGAGGCCCCTGGTATTAATGGCATGTGTTCTGCGGCAGTCAGAACTTTCAACTCCAAGGTCCAACAATCTAGCCCTCGTACCTTTCAAAGAGCTCCGTGGTGATGCTTTCTTCTTCAGACCAGATGGATTCGCAGATTCCCGCACAGTTGGCGGCATAGTCGAGCCGACCCGTCCACTCTGTGGATGAGGCTATCGCGTCCTTGACCTGTTGCTCCTGAGTGACATCGAGTTTGAGAAACTTGGTCTTTACATTCCACTTCTTGGCCACCTCGTCTGACACCTTGGCGCCCTCGTGTTCGTCCATGTCGGCTATAATGATCGAGATACCACGGCTTGCAAGTTTGTGGGCAGTGGCTTTTCCTATACCACCACTTCCCCCAGTGATGAAGGCCACACGCTGAGCCATGCTTGGCAACACTCTACAACTGCTAAGAATTCAAGGGAATATACCTGGGTAGGGAGCTGATGAGGTCGAGTTAGCCGTCATGTCGAGCACCTACCTCTGATTAAGAATCGCACGGGGCTACACCGTCAATCATGCCTGCTGGTCCTCACGCTTTGACAGCTGCACCACCGTGGAGACGGTTGTCTGCAGGAGGAATGGAGACGATGCACTCTTTGAGAGCCGCGGGGAAGATGAGCAGGGTCACTTGTCCACTTGACTGGGCCGAGGGTGACATGGAGCAATGAGCAATGTCCAGGAATGTCGTACCGACGCTTGGCGAGACGCATCTGGACAGCCGAGCAGCCCACTGCCCAACGTCCTGCGGCGACGGCCCCGCATGCACTCCCGTTGACTGCGCTGCTCTCTCCCTTCATTCCTACTCGATCGACAGTGCAAAGACGACAGACTTGTTGATCTGCTGCTCGCGTGCCCGAATCAATAAGATATGAATGTACAGAACCCGGCACAACCCCCAGACGAAATGCTTACAAGTCCAATCTTCAGCAGAAAGAGCAGAAAGAGTCTCTCCTCACCCACAGTCCGAAGTCTCCATTCCACGGGAATCAAAACCCGGCGAGTTAGCCGAGAGATCATTGTGATAGAGCCTGGGAAGCCTCTCACACACGTGTACCCTGTAGGGCACCTCGCTAATGCATCACCGAGCCATGGCCCATAACCCCGCCTGGAATCCGATATTCGAAACCATTTCCTTTACCTTGGTCCCCATGTATCACAGCAGCCATCTATCCGACAAGAGCTTTGCGCTTTCTCTTCACGGGATTTCCTAGTCTCGCCTTGCAAAATTCATCACGCCCTTCTTGATAATTGGCTCAATCATCAAGATGGCGCGCGCACAGACAGATTTTGATGCTCTTATCGTCGGGGCCGGTTATGGCGGCATCTACCAGCTCTATCGGCTGAGGGAGATGGGACTGTCGGCCAAGGTGATAGATATGGCGAGCGATGTAGGTGGGACTTGGTATTGGAATCGTTACCCTGGCGCAATGAGCGACACCGAGAGCTTCGTCTATCGATTTTCATGGGACAAGGAAGACTTGCAGACCTACCCCTGGACGCATCACTATGTCAAACAGCCTGATGTTCTGGCATATTTAGAACATGTGGTTGAGCGACATAACTTGCGCAAGGACATGCAATTTAACACCGAACTTCTCTCAGCGATTTGGAACGATGACGCCAAATATTGGCATGTGGAATTGAGTACCGGAGAGAGTCTAAAAGTACGGTATCTGGTCACCGCATTGGGTCTCTTGTCGAAAGCCAACTACCCCGACATACCTGGCATCGATACTTTCCAGGGTCAAAAGGTTCACACGGCGAAATGGCCCCAAGGACTTGATCTTAGTGGGAAGCGTGTGGGCATCATAGGTTGCGGCTCGACAGGAGTCCAAGTCATCACCGATATAGCTCCACGGGTCAAGTCTCTGACCTGTTTTCAGCGACATCCTCAATACAGCGTTCCCAGCGGCGATCGACCTGTCGATCCTGCCTACCGCCAATGGGTTAATGAAAACTACGACGCCATTTTCGACCAAGTGAGGAACTCGGCCGTGGGTTTCGGCTTCGTCGAGTCCACAACCCCTTACAAGTCCGTCGCCTCAGCCGAAGAACGCGAAGCCATCTTCCAAAGCCTCTGGGACGCAGGTAACGGCTTCCGCTTCATGTTTGGCGGCTTCAATGACATCACCACGGACCGGGAAGCGAACGAAGCAGCCTGCGCCTTCATCCGCAAGAAAATCCGGGAAATCGTCAAAGACCCTGAGAAGGCCCGCAAGCTCCAGCCGCACGATTACTACGCCCGTCGGCCGCTCTGTGACGGGGGTTACTTTGAGCAATTCAACCGCGACAACGTGGACGTGGTGCATCTGCAGGAGACCCCTATTACACGCATCACCGAAAAGGGTGTGCAGACCAGCGACAAGCTGTACGAGCTCGACGTGCTCATCTTCGCGACGGGCTTCGACGCCATCGAGGGCAACTACAACCGCATCCGCATCCGCGGCCGTGGCGGCCTCTCCCTCAAGGACTACTGGGACCCAACTGGCCCGACTAGCTACTTGGGCGTGTCGGTGCCTCACTTCCCCAACCTGCTGATGATCACGGGTCCACAAGGCCCGTTCACAAACCTGCCGCCCGCGCTCGAGGCCCATGTCGACCTGATTTCGCGCTTGATCGGCCGTGCGGAATCGCTGCGCAAAGCCAGTCCAGACTCTGCCGCGACGCCGCCGGTCGTCGAGGTGACTCCTGAAGCCGAGAAGGAGTGGTGTCTTGAGTGCGAGCGCGTCGCCGAAGGGAGCCTGTTCAAGGAGACCGCCAGTTGGATCTTTGGCCAGAATGTACCTGGCAAGAAATACGCCTTGAGGTTTTTCTTTGGCGGCCTGAAGGCCTTTTACGACCATGTTCAAAGGGTCATTGATAACGACTACGCCGGTTTTAAGGGTTTGGGACGGCGAGCTGACGAAGTTGATGCAAATGGGAAGCCGGCGGCGGCGGTAGAGGCGAAATCTGTAACGGCACGTTTGTAAGACGGTTGACTTTTGATTTTAGGTGCGCAAGACAAGAAATCATTTATAGACTAGTCAATGGAGTAAAGTCTTCAATTTCTTTATAGATGCCCAAAAAAAACTTCCTACCCTGTGAAAGCCCGTAGTGATAACGAAAAGCAGGAGCATCTTGGATTGCTTGAAAAGCAATGAATCAAGTACAATGTCGTAATGAGTCGTGACCAAGTTCATCTCTGTATCAGCTCATTCAAAAGCCCATCCATTGATTAGGGGGCTTCTAAGCAACAGTCGTCGCTCCCGAGTCTCGTTGTCGTTTCAATTTAGTATCTGCTGCCGCTTCCACCCCAGCTGCTGTTGCCGCTGCTGTGATGCTGCTTCTTCTTATCCTTCAAAAAGTCTTCGGCGACGCTACCCAGCAGAGCGCCTCCGATAGTGCCCAAGAAGCCGTGGCCAGCTTGTTTACCCAAGAAGTGACCACCGAAGCCGCCACCAATGGCGCCGAGAAGGCCACGATCACTCTCAGTCATCGGAGGAGCATTTGGATCGTAGTTTGGCGCATTGGGGTCAGTCGACTGAGGGGCAAATTGGTGGTTGGCCACTTCGGGTGGCAGGCTTGTACCATGACCTTGTTGTTGTTGACCCCCTTGTTGGGCCATTTGGGCTTGGTAAGCCTGGTTCTGGGCATAGGCATCGTTGCTGCCGTATTGCTGAGGAGCAGGGTTGCCATAGTACCCTGCGTGGCCTTGTGGGTTGCTAGCGTCGTATGCACCGTATTGGTAGCCAGCTTGACCATGCTGAAAGCCGCCAGCCTGCGGTGGCCCAAAGGAATCTTGTCGGCGAGGGGGGCCGAAGCCTTGGTCTTGAGGAGGATACTGTTGGTAGCCTTGCTGGGGAGGATACTGTTGACCGTATCCCTGCTGAGGAGGATAGCCTTGACTGCCTCCATACCCTTGCTGCGGGTACTGGGAGCCGTAGCCCTGACCGCCACCGTAGGAGTCGTAGGGACCAGACATTGTGGATGAGATGAGGACGAAGGAATTTACAGCTGGAAGTCTATGGTGAAAGTGATTGATGTCTGAACAGGAAAGGGAAGGACGGATAAGTCGATGAGGAAGGGATGATTTATACGAGGCGAGAAGGATGAGAAAAGAGCTTGCGCAGCTTGAAGGAATCTCAGACTGCGGACTGCGAGATGCGTGGTTGAGGATGATGGTGAATGCGGACTCAGCTCAGCAATTATTCACTCATTCACCGAGCGCAATGCAACAGCTGAGCCCCGCGGCAGCGAACAGAAAGGACCCCTCTTTGTCCCCTTCCCACTGACCACCAGCCAAACAACTTGCCCATTTCTGGGTGCCTCGTGGCCTGTGAGTGGTCACCCGGCTGTTCCTTCAGGTGGCTCTCGGGGTCCACATGGTCTTTCCGGGAGCGAGTGACGCCTATTGCCCAGCCTCCCCCAACCTCTTCCCCCCCCCCTTCGAGGGCCTTTCGTTTACCCAGATGTTTCGGCCGACGCTGCCCTATTTCTCCGGCTTGACCGCACACTGACATCTTGTGGCGGAGTTAATCACGTGGCAGTCGTCACAGCTGAAACGCCAGCATAATTCATCACGTCCAAAGGACCTCCCACTTAGGGTACAGGGTATTGTGGCGCAGTCTCTTCTTACAAGCGGCGATGGACGACAACAACCACAATCCCCATCTCGGACATCAACGGTCGAAGGCAACACCTCGGTATCTTCCCAATTCCCCTGGCCTTGACCCCAACCAATACTGATTTCCCGCAAGATAGACTCCATCATGACAGTGCAACTCCACGATCGCTGTCGACGCCCTAGTCCGCGATTCAACTTGCTCGAAATGCTAAGTCGTCTTCTGTTCCTCCAGTTCGACCTTCCTGCTGACCTTTCTGCCCTGCTGATCTCGTAAAAGATGGCGACGTATGACTACAAAGAGGCCTCGGCAATAGCTCGTAAGAGGAGAGCCGCTAATATTGCTGCTTTCCACAAGACTCCAGCATGGAACGAAGCAGACCTGCCTAAAAATCTGACAGAGTATGCCCTCAACTCTGACTACTACACCGACGAGGAGCGTCAAATAATTCAATCAGAGGCCGACGAGATCCTTGACAAGATCAGAACCAAGACATGGACCGCGCTACAAGTCGCAAAAGCCTTCTGCAAGGCATCCGCCTTGGCCCAGGAACTGACCAACTGCTTGACTGAAGTGCTATATGCAGAAGCGATCGAACGAGCAAAATATCTTGATGACTACCTCGAGCGCACAGGGAAGACCGTTGGTCCTCTTCACGGACTACCCATCTCGCTCAAGGACTGTTTCGTGACAGCACCACATCCTTCCAGCAATGGAATGGCGGTATTTGCCAACGAGCCTCTTGAAAAGGATGCCTTGCTGGTCACCATCCTGCGTGATCTGGGTGCAGTCTTCTATGTCAAGACAAACGTCCCGGTCGCCATGATGATGGCTGAAACGAATAACAATATCTGGGGAGAGTGCCGGAATCCTCTGCACAAGTTCCTCTCTCCAGGAGGGTCTAGTGGTGGCGAGGGAGCTCTGATAGCTTTTAAAGGCTCGCCGTTAGGGATTGGCACAGACATTGGCGGCAGTATTCGTATCCCTGCGGCGTGGTGCAACCTCTACGGCTTGAAGCCCAGCTTTGGTCGATATCCGCATTATGGAGCCAAACCAGGTATAGCCGGGCAGGAGTACATTCTATCCGTCAATGGGCCGATGGCGAGGTCTCTAAAAACACTGCAGCTGTACTCGGAAGCTCTCTTATCTGAGGACGTGAGACCCTGGGATCATGACCACAAATGTCTGCCCATTCCTTGGAGGAAGAACGTCATACAGCCATCAGGCCGTAGACTCCGCTTCGGTCTGATTGGTGTCCACGATGGCCTTGTTCATGTTCACCCGCCGGTGGAGCGTGCTTTGAAAATGACCCAGGCCGCCCTTGAGAAGCAAGGCCATGAAGTTATTCCCTGGTCCACCGAAGATCATGAAGCGATTGTGAAGGTATGTGTTGCAGTTATTCTCCGAACCGTTGCATTCTGTCATTGACGGCCCTAGAATCTCCAAGCAGCTTTCTTCGACCTTGGCGGCGCCGCAATCATGGACCTTATCAAACCTTGGGGAGAGCCTGTATTTCCGAGCATGGAAGGATATGCATTGGCGGCAGCCGCAGGTGAAGGCGAACTCGGACCGACCAAGATGCGAATGATGAACCTCCGGCGCAATGAATTGCAAAAGGCTTACCTTGACCGCTGGAATGCGACTGCTACGGACGGAAAACCACGACTAGACGCCCTCATCTGTGCCGCTTCCCCATGGGCAGCTCCCAGGCTCGGTCAAACCCAGAGGCAGAGCTTATATGTTGGTTACACGGGCTTTGTAAACTTCCTGGGTAAGCACCGGACTGGTTCCTTTCATCGCACCTCAATACTGATAGAGTCAAATTAGACTTCTGCGCCTGCACTTTTCCAGTCACATTTGCAGACAAAGATCTTGACAAGGCAAGAGATATGAGCACCTTCAAACAGTTGAGCGAGATTGACGGCAGGATCCAACAAGATTACGATGCTGAGTTCTATCATGGAGCACCAGTGGCGTTGCAGATTGTCGGGAGGCGACTCGAGGAGGAGAAAGTCCTCGAAATGTGCGAGGTCATCGACAACTGTCTGAAAACGGCTTGAATAGCTATTAGCTACATGGCTCTACTGGGAACTGTGTACCTCGGAAGGCAAGCCGCGTTCACGAATGATTTCATTTCCGTCTATGAAACGCCGCTGCCTCGTTGATCAATCTTGCGCGAAGCAAGCCCTTAGCCTCACTCTCTTGAACCTTGCGGCTTCAAAACTAATTCACACTACACGCTACATACTCTTGAGTATTCCTTTCTTCCTACAAGCCAAATTACTTTCGCTTTGAACCCGCAGGCTTACTTTGTTTCTAGAACGAGGCAGTCCGGGGAGTCAGTATCCCCAAACTCAGGCGCAATGATGATTCTTCGCACCTGACGTTGATCGGCAGGATATCACACTATCGCGGACCCACAGACGACTAGACTCCTGATATAAATCTGGAAGGCCAAAGCCAAGCCAGGCCCTGCAGTCGGTGCTCGTCAGTTACATCTCTAACTGCGAGCTCTAGTCCATGCAACATACTCTATCTTAACGTCTCTAAGGCGAAATCCTTGTAGGGCAGAAATGAGACTGGGAACACAGTGGAAATCGGGTGAAGAAAAGGTTGTGTGTGCAGGCGTTTGCGCGGTGCAGTGGTGACAAGAACATGTTTGACGCCGCTGCCGCTGTCTACCAGACCATTCTGCTGTACACTAACCGAGCCCCCCCATTTCTCCCGCCAATCTTCAGTCTTTTTGTACCCTCATCATGGTCTTTCGTAAGTGATAATAAACTCCCAGCCCCGTCTTGAAACCGCAATGCCTCCAATGTTGCTTCAAACCGATCCTGCCAAAGTCATGGTCTCCGACATTCGAAGTCGCGTTGGCACACTTTGCAACCCAACGCTGGTACGCAAAATCACAATCACTGGGTGCTGACCTCCACACGGCCTTCGTTCCCGGGAGTCTTTCCAAGAGTTGGAAGCTGCATTCTGTTAGTGGGGAAAGGCAATATCGGAGAAAGGGGAATTGAACTTACAAGGTATGTGATATCGTCCCAAGGATGTCTGTACAATCCAGTGCGCAGCTAAAGGGCGTTAGCGATTTGTGTATACAAAGGCATTGATGGCAGAACTTACTCTCTTTTGATCCAGGTAATGGGCAATGAGACCAATGGAACGACCCAAGACGAACAGACCGTTCAAAACGCCAATGGAGAGATATTGCTCGGCTTCTTCGGCGGAGAAAGAACCTCCGTCCCGGAGCAAGTCGACGAAGCAGACAGCAATGCAACCATCGACGTTCAAGATCAAGTTATCCTTCTTCGAGGTAGTCACGGTCTCAACGGCAATTGCATAATCCAAAAGCTTGTGCGATGGGAAGTGCTTGAGGACAAAGTCCTTGACAAGTTCCACACGCAAATCAGGGTTGTTGCGGGACTTGATTCGGTGACCGATACCAGGGACTGAACAGAGTTAGCCACTAATCTGCGAGGGGTTGAAAGTCAAACATACTGAGCTTGTTCTCTTTTCTCATGGTGTCAACAAACTCTCTGGGAGACCAGCCTTTGTCAAAGGCCTTGGTGAACTCCTCGGCGGCACCATCCAAGGCGCCACCAAATCGAGAGCCAATGGTCAATAGACCAGCGACTAGCGAAGAGATCAAATCTTTGCCTGCACGCGCAGTGATGATGGTGTTCATGGCACCAGACACGGCTGGACCGTGATCGGCAGTCAACATGAGCACCATTTCCAAGAATCTGCTGGCGTAGGCAGGGAGGCGGCGACGGAACCACAGAAGAGACATGACACCGCCAATACCAATTTCCTCCTTGAAGACGTCCGAAATGGGCATACCCGCGTAGAGCAATTCCTGGCCTCTGTCGTCGGAGATGGTGGAAATGAACGAGGCAGGCTTTCGGATAAGCCCAAGTTCTTGCGCCCAGGCATAATCCATGGGGATCTTGGGCACGGCTGGCTCAGGAGCAGGCTTGATAGTGCCTTGCTTGACGAGTTTCTGGTAAAGGTCACTGAGGACCTTGGGCATGTCTTCGAAAGTATCGGGGACGTAGAAGCCGGCCTCTCTCATCTTCTGGTTCTTGACAACAGCGGTTTCGAGCTGGGAGTTGGCCGAAGCACCAGCGTGACCGAATTGGACTTCGGTCTTGAACATGCTGGCGCAAGTACCAATGGCCCAGGCGACAATGGGCTTGGTGATTTGACCATTCTTCACAGCCTCAATGACTCGATACTCCTCGACACCACCAACCTCACCAAGGAGCAAGAGGATCTTGCATTCTGGCTCTTGTTGGTATCGGAGGAGGTGGTCAATGAAGGAAGTTCCCGGATATCTGTCACCACCAATGGCAATACCTTCGTAAACACCATCTGTGTTTTGAGAGATGATGTTGTTGAGCTCGTTGGACATACCACCGGACTTGGAGACGTAGCCAACGGAACCCTTGCGGTAGAGCTTGGAAGCAACAATGTTGTCCATCATACCGCCAGTGTTGCCGATCTTAAATGCACCGGGCTTGATGCCACCGACGGTGGCCGGGCCAATGATTGTGATTCCCCTCTCCTTTGACTTGACCATGATCTCACGGGCACGTCGCTCAGGGACACCCTCAGCAATAATTGCAATGCTGCGGACCTGAGGAATCTCCATCAGTTCCATAGTAGAGCTGTAGACGGATCGTGAAGAGGCAAAGTTGACAATGGTGTCCACATCGGGATGCTTCTCGAAAGCTTTCTCGACGGATTGGTAGACTGGGAGGAGAGTCTCGCTGGTACCCCAGTACATCTTGCTGACGAATTGACCGCCGAAAGTGTAAATGATACCGGCCACGGAGGGAGTCTTTCTCTTGCAGATGAAATCAAAGTCCAGCATACCCTGGACGGCCTTGGGCTGCATGCCGCTGTCCTCGCTGTCAGGTCTCCCGCATCTGTCTACATGTCCAATGGGCAACTTACTAGACGAAACATCTGGTCTTGTTGTGGAACAGGGCATTCTGGGAAGGACTCAGTGCTCTCGAGGGAGGAGCAAAGCGACGAATGTTGTCGTTGGCGGAGAAAGGAGTCTCGGAATCTATGTTGTCGCCGTTTGGAATGTCAATCGTAGGCACTCCGTTGCTGGCAGCGCCCGCTGTTGCAGAAGGCATGGCGGATGCGGTGTTCTCAGGGGAGTTTTTATGGACTGGGAGGCCCATTGTGTCAGCAGCTGAAGCAAAAAACTCAATGGATGAGACGACAACAGCGCAAGCGATGAGAGACAAGAGAATATTCAAAAGTCCCTCGTCTGGCGAGGAGAGTATAACAGGGGGGGTTTGAAGGCGGGAAAGGTCAAAGGAGTTTACGGGGATCAATTGAGACTTTCCAAGAAGACTTACAGAGGGCGAGGGCAGTTGTTGAGTATGTAAGAGGAAGAGATTGAAGCAACGGCAATTGGAGTTCAGCAGAGGTTCAAAATCGCCGACGAGGAGAAGAAAAAGATGAGCCCAGTTGAATTGAAGCCGGCGGCGGCGGTGGTGGATGGAATGGTGTTCACTTTCTCAGGGTACAATAGGGTTGCCAGTGCGCAGTGTGGAGAGCGAAGACGATGAGAGTGCGTGACTGGATTAGGGATCGTCTGTTGAGGCAGGTCCGGCTAGTTAGCTGCACGACCCAACCAAGGGAAGCTCCTGGGCGGGCACCCGAAAATAGGAATGGCGGCCCCCAAAGTTATGTTGAGGGCAGCACCCAGGTGCATCCAGGTGGCATCACCACGCCCACCAAGTCCAGCACATCCCGCTATCGCCCAGCAGTCTTTCCGGGCGGTGAGATTTTTAGTGGGCGACATCTGCATGGGCTGCCCACTGTCGCCACACAAGCCTTTCAGCCATGTGCGCTATCGACAGCAACTATGCCCTCCTGGGATGCCCGGATGTGGGAGAGGCTGAGGCCCCCTTTACAATGACATTCCCATATCCGCCGTGTCTGAGGGAGCGGGCCTGAAGGACCATTGAACTCCCCCAAACCCCCTATCGATTGGAAGGAAAAGATCTTTCTCGCGTGCCCAACTATTCGGAGTCCGGCCCCCGTCACAAGTGCACGTCGTATCTCGTACTTAGCCTGGTGGAACAGCCGTGCATTGGCGCAGCCTTTACCCGCCTTCCTCCATGGCAACTATCTGTCCAGATTCACCGAGGCCATAATAAAACGCTCAATCGGTACTCGAGACTGAACCAACAGGAAATTTGGTGCCGATAGTCGCCATAGTTGGCGTCTGTGTGACCTTGTTCCGCTGACTTGAAGAGGTAGTTGGGCGCCAATAGATGAAGCGCTGCGATGACAACTCGGCATCGGAATTTTTGTCGATAGCCAGCAGAGACGAGGCGCAACGTCACAGGGTCATGAATTTTTTTTGGCGGTGACCGACAGTTGGGGATTGTCGGTCAAACACCATGGGCCATGGAGCAGAGGCGACGGCGATTGCGGGCGGTTTGTCCCTGGCGTTGGCGCGGATTAGCAGCCTACTAGCCTCCTAACCTTAGCTCCAACACCCTTAACTGCATGCTGAGGTGCCCCTCGATAAGTTTAGCACGCCTAGTCCACGCCCACAAAGCCCACCCCTGCTCCCAACAACCCACACTCCAGGGCCCTAGCCCAAAGGGGATCCACTCAGAAAAAGTCGAGGGCAGCATTGTATCCCTCCGATGGCCAACAGTAAACTGTGCGAGCGAGCAGGAAATCTGGCCCCAGCTGTTCATACTGTTTCTCCTTACAACTTCACGCTCGCACTTTCCATTCGGCAAACTAGACTTGATCTCCTTGTCAATTGTCTTTGCTGTGGTCTTCCTTCCTAGATCTGTCTTCTATCTCAAAATTCAGGACATATTCCCAAACCAACTGCCCCCCCTGAGCCCTTCTCATCCTTACCCCTCACCTCACCGCCGCAACAATGTCAGCAAAGTCCATTCTTGAGGCCGACGGCAAGGCCATTCTCAACTACCACCTAACTCGCGCGCCTGTCATTAAGCCTACTCCTCTGAAAGCCTCTGGCGTCCACAACCCTCCTCCTAAGCTGGCCTCTATCTTCTTTCCTGAAGACCAGTCAGTCAAGACCGTTTTGGACCAAGTTGAGGCAACTTATCCCTGGCTCCTCCAGCCCGGCTCCAAGTTCGTTGCAAAGCCAGATCAATTGATCAAGAGAAGAGGAAAGAGCGGTCTTTTGGCCCTGAACAAGACATGGACAGAGGCAAGAAAATGGATTGAGGAGAGAGCCCGCAAGGAGATCAAGGTCGAGCACGTCACAGGCACTCTTTGCCAGTTCCTCGTCGAACCCTTTGTGCCCCATCCTCAAGATACTGAATACTACATTAACATCAATTCCGTGCGAGATGTGAGTTCGAGCAATCATATGCGTGACCTGCGGCGGCAGATAGGCTAACTGCAACCACTAGGGCGACTGGATCCTCTTCACCCACGAGGGCGGTGTGGATGTTGGTGATGTTGATGCAAAGGCCAAGAAGATCCTGATCCCAGTTGACCTGAAGAACTTCCCTTCAAACCAAGAACTGGCTGCAACACTGTTGCCCGACGTGCCCAAGGGTGTCCACAATGTCCTGATCGACTTCATTGTCCGCCTGTACTCCGTCTATGTGGACTGCCAATTCACCTACCTCGAAATCAACCCCCTGGTCGTCATTCCAAATGCCGCAGGCACCTCCGCCGAAGTCCACTTTCTCGACCTTGCCGCCAAACTCGACCAAACGGCTGACTTTGAGTGCGGTGTGAAGTGGGCCATCGCCCGAAGCCCCGCTGCTCTTGGTCTGCCCGGTGTCAAAACCGACGGAAAGGTCACCATCGATGTCGGCCCGCCAATGGAGTTCCCTGCGCCCTTTGGTCGTGAGCTCAGCAAAGAAGAGAAATATATTGCGGACATGGACGCGAAGACTGGTGCTTCGCTCAAATTGACCGTTCTTAATGCCAAGGGCCGCATCTGGACCTTGGTCGCTGGTGGTGGTGCCTCGGTGGTATACGCCGACGCTATTGCTTCCGCCGGCTTTGTCAGCGAATTGGCCAATTACGGTGAATACTCCGGTGCCCCGACAGAGACTCAGACATACAACTATGCGAGGACTGTTCTCGATCTGATGCTCCGAGCACCCATGCACCCCGACGGCAAGGTTCTCTTCATTGGTGGCGGCATTGCAAATTTCACAAATGTTGCTTCAACATTCAAGGGTGTCATCCGCGCACTCAGAGAGGTGGCTCCCGTTCTCAATGAGCACAAGACTCAGATCTGGGTTCGTCGCGCTGGTCCCAACTATCAGGAAGGTCTGAAGAACATCAAGTCTGTGGGTGAGGAGTTGGGGCTGAACATGCATGTATACGGCCCCGAGATGCACGTCTCTGGCATTGTTCCCTTGGCTCTTCTGGGCAAGACCACAACTGTCCCCGAATTTGGTGCTTAGATAAAAGGATGATGTTTTGATGGTTCCGTGTCTTTTGATCTAGAGCATACCAAGTTATCACTACGACCTTTTGACGATGGATTGGCATGGGGGTGGGCGACCGGAAAAGAGAGGTTGCAGGCTAGGTATGTTTCTTTACTGGAGTTCAACTTGGTGACTCTGTTCGTGGCGGAAGCATTATGTGCGTGGGTGCCGTGTACGACAACGGTTCAGCTGTCGTTTTGCGTCGTGCGGCAGAGGCCATGGCAACTCAAGTAGAGGACCAAGCAAGCGACTTTGTAAATGAACAACATTAGACCGAGACGGTAATGACATTCTGCTTCCAGCAATTTGGTGTCTGTATGCCGGATCGCATTTTATGTGATCGTGGCGTAAGCCATTCCGACCTTTGCTTCACGTTTCAAGTCCCTGTGTTATAGCTCAACTCTCAAAAAGACTAAATAACGCAAGGCTACGGCCCCTTTCCATGAAGCCGTGTTGTACAGAGATCCAGTGTCCTCGAGGCCATCGGCCTGAATGGACTTTTAAATCCCACATCACACCTCTCATGAAGCCAGGCCACATTCATGGTAGACGTCCCCCGGAGTCATTCTCATCGACACGTTTACCAGCTCCAACATGGTCGTAGGACCCAGCCAGCACATCCCCTTAGCAAAGCTGGATCTCAATGCCGCAGCTGCATCAAAACAAAGGCGGCATAAGATTCCGTGAGGCGGATCATCGTGCAGACATTTTCTCTGTATAAAATCTCCCGGGGTCGAATGTCCGTCGTCGCATCATCCACATTTCTACTGCAACCACATCACCATCTACTCCACCAGAATAACCCGTCCGCCGCCCAACTCGTCAATGTACGCCATCTTCCCGCATCCCTGGCTCTTCGTACGATCTTGCTCCCTCAACAGGACAGCGAGGACTTCGACGGGCGGCTCGAGGCCCAGGGCATTTGCGCGACGCCAGCGTTGGAGACGAGGGATGCCGATGCAGGGCCCGTATTGAGAGGAGAGGTCGAAGTGACGAAGGATCTTTTCGTGGAGCGAGAGGTCGGATTGGTGGACTGCCCATACGATACAATCAGCCATGAGACTCAAGAACGGGGGATGGTTGATTACGAAGCTTGATGTGCCGGGGGATTACGGACAATATCGTTGTCGGGGGTATGAAAACGCAATGTGAAAGTGAGAGAGGAGAGGACAAGGGTTTTCAGCAGTCGGCGAGAAGATATGCATATGCCGGACATACCTCTAGGAGCAAGCCGACTGTCCTCCTCCGCCTGCCAGTATTTCTTCAGTTGCACATCCGTGACCTTCTCGGCTGCGAGTTCACGCTCATCCTTGCCTTCTGACTTGGCCTTCTGCTTCTTCCTGGATCTCGCCTTCACCGCCACCTCCTCCTCGGGTTCTGCATCTGGTTCTAGATCTTGTGGGCTCTCCTCCGTTTCTTCGGATGCTAATTCATTTTTCCCATCTGTGACGTCTTCCGGTTCCGTCTTCAACCCATCATCTTCAAGCTCAGTCAACTTCTTCACCGAAGCGGCGTGTTCGTCTCTGTGGGCTTTCGCGCTCGGCTTTGTCACCCGAGCAGACTTGTTGTTGAATGAGAGGGTTGACTGTAAAGGGTTGTGGCCATGACTAGTGGCGGATTTGCGACCTCGGGGCATGTTGTGCAAGATGCAGTGTGGTCCGTTGACGATCGTGTGAAAGAAG